AAAAAACCATGATTATTTAAACAAAATACTTTCAAATGTGGAGTGTCATGCAGGGAATTCTGGGAATATCAGTTTACAGTTTTTGACTGTAAATTATACATTGATTTGTTATTTTTACTTCTAAAAACTGTAAAATTAACAGCATTTTACTGTAAAATTACATGAAATGTCTGGTTAGATATTTTACAGTTTTTCCCTGTATATAGTACGGGAACTTACTGTTAACCTATTAACAGTTTTTTTCCGTAGCGTTTTTACAAAATTTTACAGTTAAAATTACACTTATTTTATACAGTGTGGAGGGTATTAAATATAGCGTCTGATCTGATCTTTCATGTCAATTTAATTCAAGATGCAGAGAATAGTAACATACGGACCGGACCAAGTGTCTATAATTAAAAAATCTCTCACTATGTTGAGTAAACTGATTTCTACAGACCCTTAAAATGCCTTCCACCACTGTTGAGGTAATCGCTATATGATAAACACAGATTGCATTTGTTATGTTCGGTTATTGTGTGTACATCTGTATGCATATAGTGGGATGAAGATGCTTGTCTCATCCTGGAGTTCAGATAATTAAATGAGCTCAAAAGAATTCAGATAATTGCAATTTAGATTCCATTACAGAAAAGAAGTATATTAATAGGGGCAAACTAGAATAAGATGTTGAGAATAATGTACCATGTTTTATGCATTTTATTTTCTTATTTTCTCTTGTAGTTCTGTTTTAGGTATCACATTTGTTTTTTGTAAATCACTTTTTAAAAGGTGATATATAAATAAATCTTTACTTTTAGTTTCCATTTGTCTAATTTAATAGTTTTCTCTGTATATTGCCTGTATGGTTTAGTTATGTCAGACTGAGAACAGGAATGTAAGGTATGTGCTACATAAGGCAGAGGAGCATGTGCGTATATACATGCAATAACTCATCCGTGTGTTGAACGAATACGATTCTCCTCAGTTTAGATGGACACTTCACAGGGGACACATAGCTGGCGTGCCTCTCCATACTTGACTTTATTACTGATATCTGCTTTCCTTTTTCATCATTTTCACCTCATATTTCTGTCTCCCTCATGGCTGTCATCCCAGACAATACACCTCATCTGTAGATGCTGAGATAAATGAAAAGATGTTTTAGTTTCTTTAGTGAAGAAAAGATTGTTAAATGGTGTTAAGGTGGAATGCTGCCATATTCCTCACTTACTCCAGTAAGACAACGGCATAACAAAACTAATGACTAGTTATTAGACAATGAAAGTAGCTATTTTCCAGACTTTCCAGACTAAGGAAGCACACATACATCGCCAAGATGACTGGAAATGTCCAAGTTATAATCATGGGTTAGAAACACCTTAAAAAGAGCAGATCCACATACATTCTGTATCATAAATGTCACAAAAATATCTACTGAACATTTTAATGACATAAAGCAGTTGAGTAAACTGTATTTTTTTTTCAGAAAACAAACATTAAATAGTAGAAAAGTGAATTGTAAAGAATTTAATGATTGTTGCAGTAGTTGTAAGCTGAATGTGTTTGATTCACTACAAAGAACCAACTCATTAGAGTCATTCAGTCTGGATTCAGGCTACACTAATTGTGCTGCATTTGTTTGATTCACTCTAAAGAAACTGACACATTACAGTCAGGAATCAGATTACACTGATTGGGCGGAATGTGTTTGATTCACTAAAACCGAGTCAGAGTCATTTCTTCAGGAATCAGGCTACGCTTGGTTAAATAGATTCTGTCTGATTTACTCAAAAGAACTGACTCTTGTCGGCGCAGATGGCCTCGTGGGCAGTGTGCCAACATGTAGCGCCTTTGCGCTTCGTCCGTCCCGAGTTCGAGTCCCGGCTTGTGGACCTTTCCTGATCCCACCCCCCTCTCTCTCTCACCCACTTCGCTTCCTGTCGACCTACTGTCCTATCTAAATAAAAGGCATAAAACGCCAAAAATAAATCTTTAAAAAAAAAAGAACCGACTCTTTTAAAGTCATTTGTTCGGGATTCAGAGACTAGTTGCACTGTATGTGTTTGCTTTACTAAAAAGAACAGACTCGTTAGAATCACTCATTCAGGTATTGGATTACACTGATTGTTTGGAATGTGTTTGATTCACTAAAAAAGAAAACAGACTCTGAGTCATTTGTTCAGAAATTAGGCTACACTTATAGATTCTGTCTGATTTACTCAAAAGAACCGACTCTTTAAAGTCATTTGTTCGGAATTCAGACTACACTAGTTGCACTGTATGTGTTTGCTTGAATCATTAGACTCATTAGAATCATTCGTTCAGGACTTGGACTACACTGATTTTTTGGAAAGTGTTTGATTCACTAAAAAGACTCGGAGTCAGACTACACTAGTTGCACTGTATGTGTTTACATTACTAGAAAGAATCATTAGAGTCATTAGAATCATTCATTCAGGACTTGGACTACACTGATTGTTCGGAATGTGTTTGATTCACTTAAAAGACTCATTCGAGTCATTCGTTTAATATGGGACTTTTCCTCTGAAGCCATATTATAGCTTTATTTAACAAATATTATTATTATTGCTCAATCAGACTTTTATACAGTTGTATGTTCTGCATGTCCATCCATATGATTTTTCTCTCCCTCTCTTTTTCTTTTAAGATTTGGCGGATAACTTGGCGATTGACGACTTAACACTTCATGAGTTGCTCCTGACTCCCAGACTGGCCACAGACACCCATGGCGGAGCATCCGTACCTGGAGCGGCACAGGCAGCATATGTTCCTAGTGCAACCTTTATCTTTACCATCATCATCTTCATAATGTTGGGTCTTCAGTGATCACACCTGTTTGAAGAGAAACTCTACTGATGCCCATGTGTACATATAGCTCCATGATTTTGGCCAAGGACAAGAACCTATCCTCTTCTCAGCCTCAAGTCTTACTATATGAACCTCTTCTTTTCTATATTTTGTGTGGACCTGAGGATCAATATCATCTAAACGCTCAGACTATGAACTCATTCTTCTACAGCATGAAGAGCATTACTTATACATACAAGAATCATGTTCTTTCCCTCCGAACTCGTATGCCACACAACAGCCATGTGTTTTACATTGAGCATCACCTCCCCTCTTCTATACACATGCAGTTTTACACAAAGGCCAAAGCCTTCTGGAGGAAAAGGAGCTAAATCGCTTTTGAAAAGACAAAGAGGCTCAGCTTTTGTGAGTGAATGGGCACACTTAAGGAGAAGGAAGCGTGACTGACAGAGTCTGAGAACACGTACAAGCACTCTAGTGGTGCAGGCTGTCTCTCATACATACATTGCAGTGAGCTTCTCCTCAGCCGCTCATTTCCTGTGCAGTAAATGACCCTTGGAGTGGAGGACATCAAGGCATCGGCATGTCGTTGTGAAACCCTCTCCTTACAGGATGACACAGTTGTACTTCATTTACAAAAAAATGCTTTTAAACTGTTTTATTAGAATGCTGACATTCCCTTTTCAGAAATTGTGGCAATTTATAATCTCTCTTTGATTTTGTCGCTCATTATCTCTCTTCCTTTTTCTTTCATTTCCTCTATTCTTGTATTATAATCGTGTGATTAAAGCGTTCTTTTAAATGGACACCCACAAAACTTCCTGTTTTAACTCCCTCCTTTCGCAAGTCACTGTAGCATTTGCATTCAGTGAAAGATGGCTTGATGGATTTGTGCATCTGTAAAGTTTTCTGTTTCTGGACATCTTCATATACAAAGGGCTAAAGCTGTCATTTCAGATCAGAATGGGAAAACTAGTGTTTACAAATGGACACAGTTTTCCTTTTATAACCTGTGATGTAATTCATGACTGATCTCTGTACAGTGCTCAAAGGCATGTCATCATTTGTTACGTGCGTTTTAAACAAACTGAAA